CAATTACAGAAATAGCCTGTGAGTTAACATTTCTAATCTGTAACTGTAAATTATGACAAAATGGCTGCTTATTTAAAAAGAAAATCTATTTTTTAACATAAAAAGATTAAAATACATTTAATATATTTATTTAATAGATTAAACTGTTAAATTCAAGTTTAATGTGTTATTTCTAAAATTATGTAAAATGAACAGTTAAAAAAAGTATTTGTTGTGTAATTTTACGTGAATTTGTTTGTTAATTGACAGATATCTTGTATAAGATTTTTACAACACAAACATTGAATAAATGTTGTTTATCAGTGTATAAGCATTGGTAAATAGAATTGTTTTTATCAGTGAAAACAGCAATAATTACTGTAATTTCACAGATAATGACTTTTATCCCAGTTAGTATAACCTTTGAAATTCAGATTAAAATAAGAAAAATCTAATAATAACAGCACTCTGCTGTAAATGTAAGCCTGTTTTTTGTATTATAGCAGTGTTCTCCTGTATTTATAGTTTATTGCATTGGTTTTAATTGGTATAAATATCTTTAATTATACATTAAAAGGGCAAACAATTAAGATTGTATGTAAAATTAAAGCAAATTTCTTTTATTTTACATTTTTTACAGTGTATAATGATTTACACTCAAAACTGAACAAAACCTGGTTTAAATTCCTTGTTTCATTTTGTTTTACATATTAGAGTCGAAGGCTTTCAAAGAGGGAACGTTGGATGTCTGTTTTTATCTCCATATATCCTTTTTTGTCATGTTTTTAGAAATAAACTGTGATATAAATCAGGCTGTGAATGATATATGAGCGTACCCTCAGATTATATAGAGGAATAAAGCTAGAAGGTTTGGTGGATGTAAAAGCTGCTGAAGAGATTTCTGGCTCAGATTGTGAAGGAAAAAGAAAACATCCTTTAAAGATACGTATTGTAAAATTCACAACAGAGGAATTTTAACTAATAGATGAAAACACCTCCAGATGATTATTCACATTAAGACAATTATATTTTTTATCAAATGAGGCATTATTTATTTAAAATGTGTGTATTTGCAAAAATCTGTACAACAGGCTAAAATAAGAGATTTCTTACTCCTATTGCACCTCAACCTTAGTTCCCTAAATCAGTGGTTCCCAACCTTTTGACTCAAAGGACTCCTTTTCTGTTATTGACTAAATTATATATTTGATAGATATTTCATATTATATTCAATGTGTAACAATAAGAGAGAATAACTGATAAACAGTGAACACAATAACTGCAGGAAGTTTGAGTAAAAAGAGAGACATTTTTTGGACATTTTTAGGAACTTTTTATACAATTCTCTGTCTGTATTATTATTTATTTATTTATGTATTATTTATTCATAATGTCATACAGACTCACTGTACGTTCAGACCAAACGCGTACAAAGTGTACAAAGCATGCGGAAGTCATTTCACTTGTATTAGGAGCCAGCGAGAAAGCGGAAAGCGAAAAAAGAAGTTAAATTGTTTATAACTCAGGCGGCTTTGCGACCTGGACCGCTTTTGACCGCTTTGTCTGAACGTACATTGATTACACTTCTATTAGGCTGTTGATGATGAGAAACTATTAGGCTTACTGTGTGTACTTTAATGTTTCTTAAACCCCTTAGAATTCAATGAAGGCCCACCGTGAATGAAGTCGGCCTGATGGGTGAAGGAGCGTGGTTGTTCCAGCGCAGATGGACCCTGGTCTGAACCTGCTGTCAAAGAGTTCCATTTAGCTCTGCGGGGAGCGTTATTCACCTCCCGCGAGCCAACCTTATGTGGTTCAGGTGGTGTTTCATCCTTTTCTCTGCATGAGGTCGGTTCAGATGGAGATTTCGTTACGGGAAAACAACCGGAGCATATGGAGGACGATTAGTTGCGCCACTTGCATGCTCGGTTCGCGGTTTGCTTCAGGGTGAGTCACAGCGTGTTCCAATGAAAGGGAGAAAAGTGTGTCATCCAACAGCAAAGAGCATATTAATTGCATTCTCACACGACAGCAGCAAATGACCTGATAAAGTACTTAACAGTTGAAACTGACTATATCTGAGACGACATCGGAGGCTGCAGAGGATGGCAGATTCCTCCCAGGAGCAGCTGAAAAGGAAAACGCTTCATATATCTGATGGCTGGCACGACACCTGCAGATCTCGGGCTTGTGTGTTATGTTGGTAAATCTGTTTAGATCATGAAAGGAATAAATTCACTTCATATCTGAACACCAGATTCTGCCCATAGGCCACTGAGTCCTGCGCGCTGGCTGGCACTTCCAGCGTTGAGCCGCGCCAGGAATACAAACCTCGCACCTACCTATTCTAGACAAGGGTGACTCATAAAAACAGTCTGAAGATAACGGTGTAAGAACGAAACTGAAGCCTGGAGCGCAATTTCCGCCCGCAAGCCTAATAAAGAGCGAGGTGAACTCAAGGGTTGGCGACTAGTGGAGGAAGAGATGAGAGGGAGAGAAGAGCTTACCTACAGGTAGGTTATCATCCAATTATACTGTAAATGTTGAAAAGATCCATTCGGTGCTTGTCAGAGGAGATAAAAATGATTATTGGTTGTTATTGACTTAGTCATGTTTAAAATTAATTAGTATTTTAACGATTGAAAAAGTTGTCTCATTATTGTTGAGTACAGAACAATGTTTTTAGTTTTGCTACCACGATTCCTGTTAATGAAATGGTTAGCTGTGTGCTCTTCATGTGCACGAAGACAAATGTTTTATACTGAGACTGTGAGGATGTTAGGAGTGTATCCTGTAGTGGTAGGCGTGTTTTTGTTTAATCGGTTCTTAGTTGTTTCTGAGCTTTTGTTTTCAGGGCGGGGTGAGTCACCATGACAGTCTTCCCGTGGAGCGGTGAGTGATCGGTGATATTGTGTCACAGCAAAGCATATGGATAAGTCAGTGTTGTGTATATGACGTAGATAGCCACGAACGAGCGGGTAAAAAGATAAGTTGCGTGCGACGGAGACAGAGTCCTGCCTGGTTCATGTTCAGTGAATTTCTAGATGGTGAGAGACAGGTATCCGCTAATATAAAAGACACAACGAGGTAAGTGCACTCACTCGGGAATCAGAATCAAGAGGCAATAGGATTGAATGGTGCACGCACTGGAAGCAGGCGCACCGTGTGCGCGTGGATCTATGTGTATACCCTGTTAGAGTGATCGTGTTTTGTTTACTGTGATAACTTATTATATATATGTACATAATGGGTCTTCAGATGTAGAATTAGTTTGATCTGCTTAATATATCATATGTGATGTGTACTCATCTGGCCAATCCATGAAAGTATGATTATATTTCGTATAAAATTTGGTTCTATGTGCGTCCGGGTTTTGGTTTGTGAGTGGAAGCGATTATAGCTGTGTGTTAGCGTATCCTGAGTGACTTATTAATGTCTTCGCAAAGGGACCTATAGAAGGACAGCTGATGGAGGTGATGTATGTCAGTTGTAGTAGAAATGGTCTGTCTGTTTTGTTGTTGCTTGTAGCGGATGTGTTTCTAGATGCCGATGTATCTTTTTCTTTTTTCCAGGGATAATTCTCCGTCATATCTATTTTTAGACTAGTGGGCGAAGAGCTATATGTGAGTTTCTTTTTCGGTATGTTATATTATCTTTTTTATGTTGCTGTGTTTGTTGTTTTGATGTTAGTTTATAGAAGATTGTCTTACAGTATATAAACCGTCTCCTAACACGGTGATGATTTATATTAACCAAGCTTTTTTTACTAAGATCCCTGTGGGTGGCGGTGCGCGCGTGGAGTACTCACGCCTGCGCCGCCCGCTGACCGCTCGCGATGTGGAATGGTTATAAACTTTATATCGTTCGCACGATTCGACTCTCACTATTTATGGTTGTTACGGTCCGCAGCAATGCTCAGCGCGCGGGCAGGGGCTCGTAGAAAGAGATCATATAAACCAGCGATTGATGCAATAGGTAGTAGACGAACACGAGGATTAATAACACGAATATTTTTGTGCCAGTGTGGTGGTGTCCTTCTTGGACGCTGGGTTTCAATGCTCTCCTATCTCGACGACTCATCCAGCAGGTGGCGGTGATTCACATATGAGCTGGTTTTGTCAGCCGGCCGATTAAGAAGCCTGATGGGTTAAGCACTTACAGTGGCAGTTACTGCCTTTTATTGTGACCTTTGAAGTATGGCGGTAGATGGCACGCTAGATTGGAGGGCACAGGTGTCAGGAGGAGACTCGATTGGCCCAACCAGTGACAAACGCGTGGCGCCAGGGTCGACTGCCCTGGAGTCGGTCACAAAGGGTGTCATTGAAAGCGTTATGCATGGGCTGTGTCGCTAGTGCTGGACGTTCTTGGACAGAAGAAGGTGAGTAAGAGCAGACAATCGAGATCATACGAATAAGTTGCACGTGCCTGTCGAATAAACTTTTTTTGTAAACCTTTTTTTGTGAGCATTTATTTGGATTTCTAGCGGAAATGTCCCGCCTATGATAGCAGGGACATTGTGCTTGATCGCGTTACAGGCTCACCGCGCACTGTCTGCGTTCACCTTCTGGGTGCATACGTGGCATCTGCAATATTGCGACGATGGTGTGGAGGACGACGTGCGGGATGGTAGTGATTGTGTGAAGAGTAGATTGTGACTGTTGGGCTATTCTCTAGGTCTGCATGCGTTAGCAGTAGTCGGTATTGATCCTGGTTGTAGATGCTAGAACTGCGTGTAAATGTGGGCGATTTCTGGCGAGCATTATTGACACGAGTCGACACTTTTAATAGGTGTGGTTTCAGAGAGTGGTTGTGAATGAACCAGCAAGATAGCGAGGTCGCATTAATCGAGCTGATGATAAGGCTGCTGTAGCACTTAAGTTGAGAAGTACTTTACTCCAGCCTCCTTTTCACCCAG